ATTAATTCAATTCAAGCAGATATAGATCACAAAACAATGGAAGAGTCAGTCTTTCTTAGGACTGGCTGCATCTGAGATAAAGTCTAGTTTTTATTATATGAGAGAGGTAATGATTCTTTTGAAAAAATACCAACAATAATCAGTTATTCACTTAAACAACTTGGGACACTACTGACATCCAATAAGTATAAATTATAACAATAAGAACGAGTGTTTTTTTTCTCTTTAGCTCATAAGCTAAAAGAACACTGGATAAGTAGCACCTCTAAACCAATATTTCATTATGAAAAGTGTAATCAATGTGATATAAACATTGTGAGCCTGTCTTATAAAGGTGTCTTTGATTATCTATAGGCCCATTTCTTTCAAGTCTGTATTAATTTGACGGTTTTCAGTGTAGTGGTTTCGGGTAGAGAAAGTACCATCTTAAAAAAAAAAATCAATTTTAAAATAGGCTGAAGATGTTATAGTTTTTAGCACCCTTCTAAAATTCTAATCTCATGGAGGGAACTCAAATGATGAATATTTGAACACATTGATAGCCTCAATTCTCCAGAAATGTTTCTACTGCAAATATCTAACCTTTTTTCTCTTTTCACCCAATTTAGCAATTTTATGTGGATGAAAGTGTAAGCTGTCCATGAGAACTCTCATTTTGTTCCCTGGATTTTAAATCCTTTCCAAGCTGCATTTTCAAATAATCATTACCAGAACTTTAAAAGGATGTAAGTGGGTACCACACCCTCAAGGCCAGTTACCTGGGAATTTGTACGCTCTTCAAGGACCATAAAAAATTACCTTTTGATGGTAAGTTCACTGATTTTCTCCACAAATTCTATTTTTAGTATAGGATAGCCATGCTTACAAGCAAAGTATTAGTCTTTCCTCAACATCTGCCTTTCAGGCTGCCACCCCTTCGAGTCTTATTTCATTTATGCTGGGTCATACCATAGTATTTTGAATTTACACATTGATCTTCAGCTTTAAAAAAGAAATGAAAGGAAAGGTGCTGAGTTTAACAAGGACTTTAAAATGTATTTTATTGTTCAAAGGGAGATGAATGTTTCTCCACTTTTAGATGGTTATAATTTGAAGTAATTGCTAAAGGATTAGATGCTTAACAGCTACAACAATGTTGTAAAGATCAGCACAGACTTAAATAAATAAATGGCATGTTTTAAGTAGGAAAAATTAAGAAAATAGTATGGAATTAAAAAAAATGCAAATGTCCAAGTATCTGGCAAAGCAACCAACAACACCAAGAAGAAAACACCTGCAGGTTTTGGAGGACTCGAAGAGGTCATGATAGCACTTCTCACATTGGAAATTCAATGCACTACACACTACAGTAGGAACTCTGGTGGTGTAGTGCCTAAGGCACTTGACTGCTAACCAGAAGGCTGGCAGTTCAAACCCACCAGCCACTCCTCGGAAGGAAGATGGGGCAATCTACTTCTGTAGTGATACCACCTCGGAAACCCAAGGAGGGGTCGTTATGAGTTGGGGCTGACTGAACGGCACATAACAACATACACTACAGTACTAACTACACTCAAGTCAGGGGATAGATCTTTATCCTTAGTCTCTTATGATCATATTAAATCTTGTCTTAAACTAGAAAAGCAAAAGATTTAATGAGGGAAAGTCCAGCATAGAGTTCAAGTGACTTGAAAGTGTAGTAGCTAAAGTCGGACCTAGTACATTACCCGCCCTGCACACTCTCTGCACGTCTGGCCAAGAAACAGCCCCCCTCTGCCATGCTGTGAAGACTGTGCTGCTGCTACCATCACCACCACCACCAGTTGCTATCAAGTCAGTTTGACTTACACCACCCAACGCTTGTCACAGTAAAACTATACTCCACAGAATTTGCAATGGATTGTTCTGGAAGTACATCACCAGACTTATCTTCTGAGGCACCTCTGAGTAGTCTCGAATCTCTAACCTTGGACTAGCAGCTGAGCACATTAACCATGTGAATCACCCAGAGAGTAGAAAAGTATATATTTAGGAAGGTCCTTTGGACAATCTTTTGCTTTTACAGAACTGGTGGTGACGTAATGGTGATTTCCAACATGGTGACAGGCATACAGTCCATGACAGGGAGTGTGTACATTTGTGTGTGTTTTAATAAGTCTCAACTGAGAAAAAGCATAAATAGAACTGCTTTAAGATCCTGAGTAGGGCAGGGTCAGTTTTACTCAAGTGTCGTATTTCTAACCAAGCAAAAGTGTAGCCTCCTCTCTGGAAAAGTGAATTTCAAATTCACCAGGTAGTAGCTTCTATTCATCGAACCCTTATTCCATGCCAGTCACTGCTAAACATTTTAAATGTGTTATCTGGTTTATTGGGCAACATAAGAAAGGAAGCATCAGTGTTTAAGAGCACATGCTTTGAAATAAGTCAAACAAAAGTTTGAATCATCTCCACAGTTTGCTAACTAAAATTCAGACAAGATACAAACATCCCTGAATCTTTGCATTCTCATCTGTAAATTGGACACAGATAAGATAATGCTCATAGAGATGCTTAGCACAGTAGGCAGGGATTTTTAAGTGCTTAAAAATTTTTGGCTCTTAGAAATATCCATAGTGTACAGATGAGAGAACAAAGACTTGGAGAAGCTACAAAATGTGCCCAAGATCACATAGTTTGCAAACGGTGAAACTAGAATTTGAACTAATATCTGTATGACTCCAAAATCTATCATTTCAACCAGTATAATGTATTACTCTCTAACATACATTATTATTTTATTGAATGGTGTAATCACTACCATGAAATTTCCTACTTGAGGAAGGATCAAGAGAAAGAGAGCAACCTTTCTACGGAGGACTGCACTTGCACTTGCTTTTTCAAAATAATCGTCTTCCTATGCCTTCAGAATTGAGATTTCTAATACCACTTAGGCCAATAAAGGCTCTTACGTGGCTTAAGAAAGGCCCAGTTACTTCCTTCTAGTTTCCTGCCTCCTAAAAGCTCCTAGTTAATGCTCTTTTAAAGTGTCCTTGGGGGCTGCTTCTTCAAGGCCTCAAAATGGAGTCTGCATTGGGTCTTCTCAGCTTCTGCCTTGGTCTTGAGTTCTCCTGTGTTAGCCTTTCCTCACTATGTGGGGAATTCCTACCATGTCTGGCGGCAATTTTACACCTGTCAATTCAATTCCACAAAATGGGGATTATATCTGGCCTTCAACAACAGTATGTCCCTTTAAGTTCCTCCATGGGTTTTTTTTTTTTTTTTTTTTTAATGATTTATAATTCTCTTGAATTTCTAGTCACATCTCTCTCCGTCACTCCCCATCCCCTAACATCTGCAGAACATCCAATGCAAAACAAAACAAAAACCAATCCCAATAAATTGTGATTCTCCTCTACTAGATACTCTTTTTTTGTTGTTTTTTCCTCCCTAACTAAGGATGGGACAAAAGATAATTTCCATAATTTACACTGGAAGGAAATTTCCTTTGGTGACTCAGATTTAAACGGGTCTGTACATGCTTTGTTTTGTTTGGAGATCAGTATTTAATTTAGAAATGCCTTGAGAGCTGAGATTTCTAATATCTTTTAGGCTAATTAAGTGAGGATCTCATAAGGCTTAAGAAAGGCCCAGTTACCCGTATCTCTTTTCATTTGGTGCATGAAAAGCTATTCCATTTGCATTAAAAGCTGCAAAGTTTCCCAGCTGCCAAAGTCTGCAAGGTATAGGAAGACATCAGCTGCCTGAAGCTTTACAACACTCGAGTGCAATTTGGGGAGGACAAAAAAGCAGTAAGAAGAGGCTTTCCTTTTATGGGGGGAGAAGGCTTAGGTTCTAACTTGGCAGAGCCGATTTGTTAGAACAGGAAGGCTCCTTCGGTTTAAATTCAAATTTCTAAATCTCTTTTGGGAGATGAAGGCTCTCCCTGTGTGCCTTTCACAATCAAACTGTTGGTTATAGCCTCTCCCCTCTATGGCTTTGAAATCCGTTCCTATTCACATGGTCACAAGGAGACAGCCTTGGGGCAGGGATGGCATAGCTTACAGGGCTCTGTGCTGGCTGGGTTCCGCTGGGCGGAAGGGCTGCCCTGGGATTCACAAATGCCCACCATTTGGCTCAACAACAGCCCAACGCAATGTCCCTGTCCCCAAATAGCCTCTTGCTACATTAATTGCATCATTGATGCATTAAAAAAATTAAGTGGCCTTTTTATTCTCAAACAGCTATCTGAAGGAGCAAATAGTCAAGACCAGCCTTTGTGACTACAACCAATAACACTGCTTTTATTTTACTTTAGAGATGTGTTCTCTCTGAGCAATGAGAGGTGTAGCTAGTGTGTATGTGAAGAATTATGCTCTATATTTTTAGGGCATCAATTGCTAGAAAAGAGCTCAGCAAGATCGCTTCCCTAAAAAAGTCTTAAGAGGAAAAGGTTAGTACTCTAATGGAACTGGTTTTCAATATTTGGTTAGTCCTCCAAACGTTGCTGTTTGCCGGCGAGTCGGCCTCCAAACAAAGGCCTTGGAAAAGAAACAGTTCAAGTCTGACTTGGTTAAAACAAAACAATACACAAATTTTTTTTTTCACATTTCAACAAAGAGTTAATAAACAGCCACTGAATTAATTTGCCTTGTCCTGCTCACAGCTGCGGCCAGAGCCCCGTGTTCACAGTGCAGAGAAAAATGCATTTGACTGCATTGCACACACCTGTACACATTCCCAACCTTGATGGAGGGCACCTGGGTACAGACTGACACATATTTTTGGCCCAATACCACCAGGTAATACCACCAGGTAATACCACCAGGCATCTGCCTTGGGTTTAGGCTGCAGGGACCTGTGAAATTCCCACCGCTTAGTGCAGATTTTACATTATTCTGCTGAAGGCAGAAAGGGAACAAAGCCTTGTGTGTGTGATCCCTGATAGGACAGATGGACAATCGACTGTGAGAGCCGGGACAGCTGAGATCAGGCATGTTGAGGAGACCCTGCCTCGGTGTGAGGAAGCAGCTGGGGGCACCGACCTGGAAGATGAGCACTTTGAAGTGGTTGCGTCTGAGGAGCTGGGCGTGGTTGTTCTCCAGTCGCTTCACCTGGGCGCTCTGCTGCTCCATGCGCTCCCTAACCGCACGCGTGTGGGCGCTGACCTTCCGGGACTTCTCCAGCAGTTTGCTGACCGTGTTGCTGGTGGAGGCCTGGTACTTGGAGAGCTTGGTGAGGTCGTTCTGGATGCCCTTCACGGAGCCCTCCAGGCTGATCTGCCGCTGCTCCATCTTGTGCTGGTTCTCCTGCACAGCGTCCAGCATGTTCACCAACTTGTCCAGCAGTGTGAGCACTGTGACGGCGTTCACCTGTGAGTTGTCCCGGATGGCTTCCTCCGTGCTCCCCAGGTGCAGGCTAGGGCTTGGCGTGGAGGAGGGCATTGGGCTGGGACTCCATGGTGTCTCCTGCCGCACATCAGCACCTGGGTGCTGGAACTTTTCAGCTTGTGCAGCGTCCTCTCCCATGATTGGGCAGGTGGACAAGTTCTTCCCGGCTGGGAGCGTCTGCTTGCGCAGGTGAGAAGAGGGGGATGACCCGAGCAGAGTGAGGCCGGCTGGCGAAGTTTAGAGCACCGCTCCCCAGGACTGGCAGAGGTTCAGACAAGCAACAACTGGCTATGCTGATCAGGGGAACTGCATTCCAGCTGTTCTTAAAGGTCCTACTCCACCCAGTGGGAGGCGAAGGTTACAGAACCAAGAACCACTCAGAGTTCAGAAGCATTGTAAACACTTCCTAACTTCTGCTCCGTACAGGACACTTTGCGGCAGGTTTAGATTTTCTTTTTTACCCTCTCTTCCCCTTTTAAAGTCAGTTCAATGTCATATTTCAATCATGACTTCATCTAGAGGCGGAGAAAAACATGCTAACTTGGCCCAGCTCCACAGCCTGCAGTTGGCTAGAGCTAGTAAACTTTTCACTGGCTGCTATGCTACAGATGCAACAGAGTGCCTGTTTTTTTTTCCTGGATACAAGTTATTGTAACGGAAATTATTGTTTGCATTCACCCTATAGCTGACCGATGGGCTGCAGAATGTTGTGTCCTAGTGAGAGGGGCAGAGTTCAAAGGGTCCTGGTAGCCACGTGCATATCATAGGTTCCCATTTCCAAAGGAATGGAAGTAACGGTGATAAGAAAAAGAAAAACAGCCCCATTATTCTTTTCGTTTCAATTAGGGATGCAAGATCAGCCAAATAGGCTGAATTCAAAACAAAACAAAACAAAACTCACTGCCATCGAGCCAAATTTGACTCATAGCAACCCCCTTTTGATTTTCCAAGGTGGTAAATCTTTACTGAACTAGATTGCCTAGTCTTCCTTCCATGGAGTGGCTGGTAGGTTTGAACCACCAACCTTCTGGTTAGTAGTCAAATGCCTTAGGTACTATGCCACCAGAGCTCTTTGGCTGAACTTCATAGATATGTTAAAACAAGGAATGCTGCTATTATGAAGTGTTATATAATAGATGAGATTATACACACACACACACACACACACATACATATACATATATTTAGATGGGATATTTTTGAAAAAGCTTTCATTTTTTTAAATGTACTTTCTTTAAGACTGCACAAGGAAAAAAAAATTGTCCCTTTAGGAACCTACTACACTAATTTGTTTTGAGGTAATCTTGAATTAGTGCTGAGAGAGTTTCTCAAATGTTCAGCTCTGTAAGGCAGTTGTTGATATGTGCCCGGAAGTGTGCCTGCAGAGCAGGCTGGTTGGAGTTTCTGAAGGCCTTCCGATGTTTGACATTTCCAAATTCCTGTTCAGTGAAGTGGCACACCTCCTCCAAAACATGGCCCTCCTCACCTGAGCCCTTGGGATGTGGGGCTTATTTCCTAAAATGACTTCACATGCTTGAGTTGGTTTTAAATGTGTTCAGCCTTTGAAAGTGGCTTCAGCAGGTAGTTTGTAATAGGCTTTCTATGAACAGTTTTTTTTTTTCCGCTTTAATTTTTATTGTGATGTAGATGAAAGTTTACACAGCAAATTAATTTTTCATGCAGCAGATCATACACATTTTGTTTCATGACATTGACTGCAATTCCCCACAATGTAACAGCTCTCTTCCCACTTCCTCCCTGTAGTTACCTCTTCCCTGTGTCCTTTCTTCCCATGCACTCCTGCCCCCCACCCCTAGTTATCTCCTTGTGCAAACACTGCCCTTCTGTTCTCCCACAGTTGATCACTCCAAGGTTTGTAATCTCCCTGATGTAAATGTTCACCCCATATACCTGTCTCTGGTTTGGCTGGAAGCCACAGGAGTTAGTTGAGTTCTAGACCTGAAGGGTAACTATGGGCTATAATCTTAGGGGTCTCACCAGACTCTCTCAGACCAGCAAACCTGATCTTTTTATATGATTTTGAGTTTTGTTCTGCATTGTTCTCCCCTTCTATCCAGGATCTCTTGCACCAATCCCCCTCTGAGTGGTTGACAGTGGTAGCCAGGCATCATCTAGTTCTTCTAGTCTCATGGTTATACAGGCTGAAGATCACATGGTCTACTAGTCCCTTGGACTAATTGTTTCCATAGATCTTTGCTTTTTTCATTCTTCTTTGCTTTGGATGGGGAGAGAACCCATTGTTGCATCTAGATGGTGGCTTGCAAACTTTCAAGACCCCTGTTGGTACTCACAAAGTAGGATGAGGATGTAGAACAATGTTTTTGTGTAGTATGTTATGTCAGTTGAGCTTAATGTCCTTTGCAACCATGGTCCTAAGCCCACAGGTCCCAGTACTGGCTTCCTCAGAGTAGCATCTCTGGCCAAGAAGCCACCACCACCTTGTCCCTTGTCAGCTCTGCTCTACACCCAGACATTCTTACGGCACATACAAATATGCTTGTAGAAACATCTGAACAGTTTTGAGAAGAGCAAATGCCAGCTCATATTGAGTCAGGGCTTGACAATGGAAAAGTATATCCTTTAATGGCAAAATCCACACAAGACGCAATTAATCAGCAGGGCATTCATTGACCTACTTATTGATTTTTGTGCTCAGTTCTGTGCTTCGTGCACTATCTAGAAGATACTGAAAAAGTGTGGATTTACTTCAATGAGTATGCTTGCTAGTAGTTGCTGTTGTTAGGTGCCCAACTCATAATGACGTGGGCAACAGACCCAAACACTGCCCAGTCCCGTGCCATCCTCACAATCATTGCTAGGTTTGAGCTCATTGTTACAGCCATTGTGTCAATCTATCTTGTTGAGGGTCTTCCTCTCTTTCACTGACCCTCTATTTTACCTAGCATGATGTCCTTTTCCAGGGACTGGTCCCTCTTGAAAACATGTCCAAAGTATCTGAGATGAAGTTTGGCCATTCTTACTCCTAAGGAACATTCTGGCTATATTTCATCCAAGATAGATTTGTTTGTCCTTCTGGCAGTCCATGGTGTTTTCAGTATTCTGTGCCAACACCATACAAATATGAGCTCCTTTTTTTTTTTTTTTTGCCAACAGCATAATTCAATGATATCAATTCTTCTGTCTCCCTTACTCATTGTCCAGCTTTC